ACGAACGAAGGCGGACGAAGGCGACACACGGGACGCGGAGGAGGAGGAGGAGGAAGAGGAGCAACAGCCTCACTCATCGAAACCCTCGTAGCTGTGCGGACCGTCAGGCAGGTCGGAGGAGAAGACGACGCCCCCAAAGAACAACTGGTCGTACTTATAATCGAGGTCGCCGCCCTCGCGGGTAATCTTGTCTGTAAACATTGCCAGAGTGCGGAACCCGGAAAGCAAACCCTGGGTGTGGCCACGAACCTTGGCCAAGCGACCTTCGAACATCCCGACGGGGTCGCCAATGGCGGGGTCATAGTTCAGGGCCAAGGTCTCGGTCCGAGAGTCGGGAGTCTCTTCGTGATGGTGAAGTTCATCGCAAGCTGGTTGAAGCTTGCGGCAGGTCTCCATCAACGCCTGCTCGAAATACTGAACCGCTTCGGGAAGTAGGCGGGCAAAATCCTCCAGAAGGCGGAGGGCCACACCGGGTAGAACAAACTCGCCAGTCTGCACACTGGTGTCGATCATCTCGTGATGCGGGATACCACCGTCGAGAAGCGAATCCGAACCCTTGGCCAGGTTGTCTCGCTGTTGAAGCATATGGTCTCGTGCTCCAGGATGTCCTCGTCGTCCTTGTGGTATGTGCGGCAGGAGGCAATGGTGATGTCTGGGGCCAGCCCGGGGCTAGCGGAAGAGGTGCGGACAGACGCCTGGCACATATCCGTGCGGAAGCACGAATCGGTGAGGTCGCACAGGTCGGAAGCAATGATTGACAACGACGGTGACGCACTGCACGAAGGACCGTTGCTAAATGTGTATTCGGCACACTTGAACTCGATATACGGAACAATGGCCAACTCATGACCGAGGTCGCTGAGAAACGTGCGGCAACGCTGCGGAGACAGCTTCTCCGTCCACCCGAGCACTGCATCCAGCTCTCGCAAGCGTCTCTTGGTGCGGTTGCCGATGGGGGCACGTTTGCAAACTGCGGCGCACCACTGAACGTGCTGGTCCAACAACCCCGCAAGAATTCCCAGAGTCTCTCGATGCAGAGCAGCTACCAGCGCCGCTACATCATGCCCCATGAGGATGAATAAAACGAGGATGGTTCCGCACCGAAGTGCACCACGCATGGCCCGTATTACGCCCAAGTGGCTACGGATGATGATGATGATGATGATGATGATGATGATGATGATGATGATGATGATGATGATGATGATACTGATACTGATGATGATGATGATGATGATGATGATGATGATGATGCTAGTAATGATGACGACGATTATGATGATGATGACGATGATGCTGATGCTGACGCTGATGCTGATGGTGATGGTGGTGATGATGGTGATGATGACGACGATGGTGATGATGATGATGATGCGGCTGATGATGATGGTAAGGATGACGATGAGGAGGAGGAGAGGAAGGGTGATGATGATGCTGATGACGATGATGATGATGACGATGACGGTGATGCAGCTGCTTCTGAACATGTTGATGGTGGATCATGGGGATGATGGAGAGGACGAGGACGACGATGATGATGAGGATGGCAGGGGTGTTGGGGTTGTTGATGATGATGATGATGGTGATGATGATGATGACGATGATGAATGATGATGATGAGGATGATGATGATGATGATGATGAGGATGATGATGACGATGACGATGACGATGATGATGATGGTGATGGTGATGATGATGATGATGATGATGATGATGATGCTGATGATGATGATGTTGTTGCTCTTGCTGCTGCTGGTGATTATGAGAATTAATAAACATACCACGATCATAATATAAAAAAAAATCAAGGACTGACGACAAGACGAATACTAATCATATCATACTATGAATGAGCGGATTACACTATTATTACTCACAGTACTAATACTATTAAGAATAGCAGTAATACGAAGAAGCATGAGAAGACCACGAACAGAGAAGGAGCAGAAGGAGGAGGAGGAGGAGGAGGAGGAGGAGAAGGAGGAGGAGGAGGAGGAGGAGGAGGAGGTGGGGGAGGAGCCCAGATGGGTGTGAGCGGACGCAGGGAGTTGGGGAGGAGGGCAGGACCGATCGAGAAGCGAGGCGGGGACGGTGCAGGGAAGGAAAAGGACGGGGGCACGGAGCAGAGGCGACGGCGATGCCCCGCAGGGCGGGCCCACCACGGCGACGGTCGCCGCCTCGACCCAGCCGCGGAGGCCCGTCCACTCCTCCGTCATCCTCGGGGCGTCGGGGGAGTAGCGCGGCGCGGGGCCCGCCCCGCCCGCGGCAGCCGGGCCGAGGACCGATGACCAAGGCTCAGCAGATGCGCACGAGGAGGAGGAGGAGGAGGAGGAGGAGGAGGAGGAGGAAGAGGAGGCGGAGGTGGAGGCGGAGGCGGCGGAGGCGGCGCTGGAGGAGGAGGAGGAGGAGAAGGATGAGGAGGAGGTAGAGGAGGAGGAGGAGGAGGAGGAGGAGGGAGGAGGAGGAGGAGGAGGAGGAGGAGGAGGAGGAGAAGGATGAGGAGGAGGAGGAGGAGGACGACGACGATGACGAGCAGCAGCAATAGGCGAGGCGCGGCCGCCCCACCCCTTGCCGCGCCCTCCCGGAGGGGGAGGGCACACTCTCCGCGGAGCTCTGAGGGTCCTGCTGTGCCCCAGAGCTTCCGCGGGCCCCACGGGGGACGAGCGGTTTCCGTGGGGCACCTGCTGGCCGCCTGACTTCTTCTCCGATGTGCCTTCTGTCTTCGGACGTGCTTGGCCCGCCCCCCGCACGCGGCAACCAGGCCGAGGATCCAGGACCGAGACATGGCAGGTCCGAGACGTGACGACCCCGGCGTTGGCGTCTGACACCGCGTCGACCGTTCAACCCTGACGATCGGCGGCCCTTCGATCGCCAGATCGCTCCATGGGGGTCGATTCTGGGCCACCCGCGGCGTTCAGTCTTGAGGCGCCCATGGCGGGGTCGCCGCGTGGACACGACACGAAGCCTGCCGTATTCCGACGTTCTTGGCCTAGGCCTCAGCTCAGGCGGCCTCTGGGGACCTCGGGAGACCCACGGGCAGCCCGACTTCTGCGCCTCGCGCCGCGCGAGGCGCGGTTGTCTTCGCGCTCTCGCGCCGCCGCCCAGACCGCCCTCCGCGAAGCGCGATCGCCTCATAATCCCTTGCGGGCGACCCAAGGCGAGCATGGATCGAGGATTCCCGGGCAGCGCGCTGGGACAGAAGGACCCGCTGGGCATGCAGCCATCAACGGCCTTCGAGGGGGGGCAACAGCAAGACATGGACAAGGAGCAGGGCTTGGGCCGACGGCGAGACAGGCCAGAGGACCCCCCCCATGTCCTCCTTTTTCCCTCCCCTTCCCCGCGCTACTCTCCTCCCCTGCTGGCATTCCTCGCCCATCCAGACGCCTGAAAATTATCGTGCCCTTCTTTCTTCACGGTGCCCCTGGCCGCCTGTCCTTGGGGACGGCCACAAAATCGTCTCCTGGGGCCCTGTAGGTACTTGCGAGTTGTGCGGCCACTACAGCTCACACATAGGCAAGTATGTTAAGAATCTTAAGCTGAACTGCATGGGGCCGCCCCAGAATCGCCACACGCTTTCTCATGCCTGGTGTAGTGTGAGGCGTTTGCGGTCTGGCTTCGAGCCCAAGGGTGGGAACCCAATCCCACCGAAGTCCCAGGAACCACCTCTCTTTCGGTGCTTTTTTCTGCTGCTGGCTGGCGCCACGCCGCCCCCTGTCTGTGGAGTGGGCCTGGGTTGCCTGGCTTCTCTCGCTTTCCTTCGCCTCTCCCTCTGCCTTCGCCTCCTTCGCCTCCTGCTCCTCCTCTTCCTCCTCCTCCTTTTCCTCCTCCTCCTCCTCCTCCTCCTCCTCCATTCCGTTTCCTTACAGATCACTCCTCCCTGTCGTGGTCTGTATCGCACCCTAGCGCCGTGCACACTTGTGTTTACAAATTACAGCAGCTTCCTGGATTGAGAGCGGGTGGTTTTCAAAATGTGGATCTCGCCCTAGCGCCGCGCACGTTCGTTTTTTTTTTTTTTTTTTTTTTTTTTTTTTTTTTTTTTTTTTTTTTTTTTTTTTTTTTTTTTTTTTTTTTTTTTTTTTTTTTTTTTTTTTTTTTTTTTTTTTAAAAAAAAAAAAAAAATAAAAAAAAAAAAAAAAAAAAAAAAACATTGCATGAGCTTCGCGGATTGAGGGCGGGAAGGTTTCACAATGTGCCTTTCGCCTGAGCGCTGCGCACATTCACTTTCGTTTTTGAAAATTTCCAAGAGCTTCACGGATAGAGGGCAGGTGGTTTTCAAGTTGTGCCTTTCGCCTGAGCGCTGCGCACATTCGTCTTCAACAAATGCTACAGTTTCACGGATTGAGCGTGGGCCCTCTCCAAAACGTGGCTCTCGCCTTAGCGCCACGCACACTCGTCTTAAACATTTGCCATGCAAGAGTTTCATGGCTTCGCATTGTTAATGTACCATTAACGGTGCTTTGGAACGATTCAGGATTGTCAGGGCGCGGGAGTTATGTTGATTCGCGGTGTTCGCGTCCCAGGAATGGTGTTCTGGCACGGTTCTGAATCGACAAGGCGTAACAGTCAGGTTAACTCGCGGCGTCAGGTTAACGCCACGCTTCAAGATGTTCACACGGTTGTCCCCCAAAGGGGCAATTCCCTCAGTGGAGATGGCCCCTTGTAGGAGCCTATGAAGAGGGACCTTGGAGGGGGGATGTATTTCAACATCGTTGATGAGTCTTGGGCTTGCACCAAAGCGACCCGCATCGAACTCGACTCGAGGGGCCAGCTCATCACCTCCTCGCTTGACCACGCCAAGAAGTTCAAGGAGGCCATCAGCGAACTCATGGCCAAGAAGGGAAGTCCCAGAGCGGCGGGGCCGTCGACCCGATTGCGAAGGACGTCGACGACTAGCTCCAGCAGGCCACCAACACGGCCGTGCTCGCCGAGCCCATGAACCCCTCCTCGGACCAGCAGGACAAGCTCAAGGCCGAGGCTAAGAAACTGTCCGAGGCACGGTTCGCCGCCCAAGCCCAGGCTTCCCAAGCCAAGGGTAAGGGATCGGCGAGCACTGCTGCGACAGGTTCGGCAGCCTCCCCGTCGGCGGCTTGACAAATGCAGAAGGGGAAGCCTCGGTCCCAGAAGTCTGAGGCCCACGCCAGCGACGAGACGCGCATGTTCGTGGGGAGCATCACTGAGCTCTCCGACAAGTTCTGGCAGTACCTGCGCGGCCACTACTCACAATTCTCATACTGGAGAGTCGTAGAGACTCACATCCATGATCAACAAGAACTTCGGACCTGGGATACGAAGGCCAGACGCGAGAACCTACGATTGTATCCTTATCCAGCTTGACCGTCTGGAAAGCATGTGTCCAGGAATAAAGTCAATCCTTCCAACGAAGGAGGGGAGATGATGTTCGCTCGCCGCCACCTTCAGTGTCAGCTTTACCTGGGGCCAGAACTGCAGCGTGCCAGCTCTCGGTCAATGTCGACCACATCTTTGATGGTTTCCTGCCCATTGTACTCCACCAAGTGGGCTGCAACATCCTGTTCATTTTCTGGTACGGACACTCGTTCGTTGGCATGCAGGGGCCCGGCCGCCTGCGATATGGACGGCTCGGTGGTCTACTCAAGGCTGTCAGCTTACCGCGGGCGGTGATCGGCGACTTCAGCGTGCGGCCAGACATCCTCCAGGACTCGCTTGTCGCCCGCGAGGTGGACGGCCGCGTCCGCGTCGCTCCTGGAGGAGGGGCCTGTGCGCAGAAAAGAAGAGCAGCCAGTCTCCTTGATTATTTGTTGTGCTCTTCTTTTGCCATCCCTTTCATCGACGAGTTCCGGCGAGTCCGTGATGTCCCGTGGCGCCCCCATGTTGGCATGCAGGTGGCCCCCAGGACTTCGGGCCTCCAACTTCTCACGCGTGTCTTGAATGGGCCTCGTAGGCTCCCCCAGGTTGGGCGTCCGTGTGCTTCTCCTGTCGTGGGATCTACGAATAATAGGATGAGGGCTCAGCGCCAGATGGCCCAGCAAGAGGCCCATGAAAAGCGCTGCCAACAACTTGCTGCTCTCTTTGGGGACTGTGTTGGTAAGCAACGGTCGTCTTTCAATCGCGATTTTGAACTAGAAGGTGCCCGGGAGCCCGAGGGGTCAGGCGACGCTGAGGACGCCCAAGTCGACCAGCCTGAGTGGCCAGGCGAGCCAGACTCTTGGGCTGATGAATCAGATTTCGTTTGCTCCATCTCCCTTGCCCCTCCTGCCGCCCCCCCCCCCAAAGCGACCGTCAGACCGCCGGTCCCACGCTTAGTGACGGCGACGGCAAGCTCACCGAGGCAACCCAAAATGCGATGGACAGTCAGGGAAAGGCCCCGCAGCGCCATTGTCAAGAGAGCCCCGACCCTAATTTGTGCCAGCCCCCCGAAGTAGGATTTGACAGTGACAGGTGCGGTAATTCGGCCACCCGGAAGCCAGAGCCTATTGAGCCCTCCGCATGTCCGAAGGTACCCATACTGGCTCCAGGACCCCGACCCCCCTGCCAAGTTTTGTTATTCCTGACGACCTCTGGTGTCGCACGCGTGAGGCTAATTGTCTAGAATATGTCCACCCTCCGCTGCTGTCCTCCGCAGCATTTAGGCTCAAAGAAACACGCTCCGCCTCGATTTCAGGTATGTACGCAGCGTTCGCAACCACTGTCGAACACGCGATCAGCAGACATCATGGCCAGGTCCCCATCGGGTGCATGCCGCGCCCGTGGACCGCAGTTCAAGGTGCGGCCGATGTATGTGGTCGCCCATCAGCGCCAACAGGGATTACGTGACGCACGCGCCCAGTGATGCACACGACTCCTAACGGTTCTGAGTGGAGTACTCCGACACACAGCACGCAGCAACGATCCCGCCCAACTCCAGGGACGCCAGCAAGCGTGCGTGAAGCTGCTCCATGAAGCCCCTGAACGTGTCCAAGATGTCCTACGACCATGACGAGACCCACCATGGGAACGGTGGCGAGAACTACTAGCCAAGGGCGCTGCCGATCAGGCGGTGGTCCTCGAGTCCTGGGAGAGATGTGCCAGACGCGTGGCTGAGCGCGTCCAACGACAAGCCATGGTTGCCTCTCTACGTAATTGCAGATCTTGGATACAGGGACCGCATGCGAATGGAATCCTGCACAAATCTCTGAAGCCATTTAACTTACCCGACATCGAGTATGTTTTAGACGCTGGGGTGGCTGCGCACCCAGTGGAGATCATGGGCGCGAAGGCGAAGAAGTTCATTGATCGCTGGGCCCCGCAGCAGATAGACCTCAACAAGACTCGAGATATGTTCAGTCGCATACGTGCAGTTGCCGACGACAACCCACTGCCCAGCATCACTCCATCTATGATAACAGATGCCTGCGGCAGGGCGAAGGCCTCCCAAGGCCTAGGGTTTGATGGTTGCACGCCGGTTGGCTTTCAGCGACTATCTCCGACAGCACCCCAGGATCTGCCATTACTACTAACAGCTGTTGAGGACACACTCACATGGCCGACCCAGACAAGTCATCTTGGGTCAACTCATACCCAAGAAGACAGAGGCTGATCGAGCCATAGGGCTGATTTCGATGCTTGGAAGGACCTGTTCGGTGATCAGAGAGACGCAAGTTCAAAAATGGACGCAGCGCCACACTACGGGTTGGGACGCGGCCACCACAGGAAGTTCATGTCTACAGGAGGCATTCCTACGCGCCATTGGCGAAGAAGTTGTACGTGATTTCAAGAAGACATATTCACATGCAATGCTGGATATTGCTTCATTTTACGAAGCCATACCTTGCCGCGCGTGGAGGCAGCCCTTTCGCTGGATTTCCCGCGCATTGTCCTTTATCTCGAACTGGTCCAATGTAGATCTCCACGCGTGCTAGGACAAGAGGGCGCGGCCTCTGACATTCTTGGGCCATCGCAGACAGTAGTGCAAGGCTTGCGAAGCGGGACACGCTTCGCGAAGGCCCTCACACACTACGTCATGCAGAAAATAACATTGGCCCACCCCAAAGTGAGCCACCGGATATGGGTCGACGATTTACCCCAGAAGATGCCAGGATCCAGTCGTGCCGTGAAGGGACATATGATTGTTTGCATCGCCCACGCGTGCTAATGGATGGAGACGGGGGGCCTCGACGGTGCTTCGAAGTCCATCATCGTGAGATCGGCGACGGGGGATGCCAAGGCCATCATCAGAGGAGTCCGCAGGCGGGGTTACCAGATCAAGGGAACCAAGCAGGCGGCCTACCTCGGAATCGATTTCGGATGCGGACGCCACGCTCGAAGTACACGGCGCATGAGAGAAATTAAGCACCAGCTCATGTCGAACGAGATCCGCCGATTCGCCAAGGCGTCAAGGCGCTTCAAGGCGACGGCCAAACTGCAGACGCAGGGAGGCATTCCTGCGAGCCTGCATGGCCACCAAGTGCACGGCGTCGTTGGAAAGCAGGTGCAGCTGGTGCGACGACGGCTGGCGCAGGCAAGCGGGGGGGCTGGCAAGGGGCGCTGTCTCACGACGGTACTTGAGCTCAAGGCTCCAGGCCAGGACCCAGCGCTGAAGCTACCAGTCCAACTCGTGGACCAGTGGCTGAAGTCGTGGCGAGATCACCCCAATCCCAGAATGATTTTTCGCAAAGTCTGGAATCAGATCTACACGCAGATGCTGAACCTCGACTCTGCAGATCAGTCTCGCCACGATAGGGGCCCAATCTCGACAGTGATACTGACATTGATGAGAGCGGGTTGGGACCCACAGCGGCCGCACCAGTGGAGCTACACTACTGACGCCGACAAGGGCTCGACAGAACAATGACAGTTCCCTGATGAGTCCTGCACAGGCGACGTGCACAAAGATCGACATGACCATCTGCTTCAAGACCTGCTACGATCAGTATCCCAGAAGCGATGGGTGACAGCGAGCCAACACTATGCTGGTGGCGGGCTGGGGCGCGGAGTCGACATGGAGTCGTTCCAGCAGCTGGTGGCCCAACTCGAAACCTCACCACATGGACGCAAACTGTCAGAGACCATGGTCACGATTGCTGCAAGAGAATGCTGGCCCAAAGCAAGAAAGAAGCAATTGACACGGAATGTTCAGGGCACCGAGATTTGTGACAGGTGTCAACGCTGTTCAGAAACATTGGTGCATCGCTACGGGGAGTGCAAAAAACGTGGGTTCACCTGCTTCTATGAGGCTAGCGCCCAATATGTTCCAGCCGCCCTCGCCCAAGCAAGCTGTGATGAAGGTTTCTGGCTCCGTGGCGCCTTGGACCTGGGCCCCTGAGCCTGTAGATCACGACGTGTGGTGGCCCGAAGGGGTGCCTGAAGTTGTAGGTGGGTGTCTTGGGCATGGTACTCAAAGCGAGCCCCTGCTGGTGTCTGGGGATGCGTCAGGCGGGCCTGAGTCCAAATGGCCCAAGCTCCGACACGTAGGCCTCGCAACCGCTTGCTTGAATTCCACGTTCCCCCTGTCCATTTCAACCTCCGTAATGGGCCCCCTAAGTGGCATTGGACAAGTGGTCGCCCGAGGGGAATTTCGAGCGTTTCTTTTGGCTTTAGAGTGCACTACTGGTTATTTACTGTATATCAGAAACTACGAGCCCCTCGCATGTATGACCGCCCACACGGCCCTGACGCCGACCTGTGGGCTCGCATCCGTGACCAACTGTGTGCCCGACCCCCGTTTTGTATTTCAGTTGTTTTCGTTCATAGCCACCAGTCCGAGGAAGACATTGTGGCTCAGCGCGCTGTCAGCACACACGTTCTGTTCTGGCCAACACTGTAGCCGACAATTTGGCCGACGCCGCTGCCCATCTCGCCCGTGTTCCTGCCCCCATCCGCCAGGAGATTCATCTGCAGGAAAGTCGTGCCATGCATGTGCGTATGCGGCTCCTCCGTGCTACGCTCGACTGCTTCCGTACTGAGCAAGGGCTTGCCCTGGGTGTCAGGGAGACAAGGAAAGAGCGAGTACCCCCTTCTCCCCCAACCACTCCCCGCCCCTC